TTTTCAATTTTACTAGCATATAGTTATTGACTTTTAAAAGTTATTTTAGAACTTTATCTGCAGCTGTTTCAACTTATTTATTCTGTATTTTATTTTAACCTTTTTTTCCTTGAAAAATCTTGCCCAAGGTATCTGTATTTAATTAACCTTTTCAAAGAACTTTTGTTCTTCTTCTCAATTTTTATTTCACTTATTTCTTTTCTTGTCTTTATTTCTTCTTTCTTGTTTCTTTGATTTTTGTACTGCTGCTTGTTCTGATTGCTTTAATTGAGTGCTTAGCTCATTTTTAAAAGATTTTTTTTTGTTTCTTGATAAACGCTTGAAGTATTTCTCTTATATTTAGTTCTTATATGTTTATTCTATATTATTCTTATTTCTTATATATTTCTCTCAAATTTCTCTTATATTGCTTTATCTGTGCCTCATAATTTATGATAAATGTGTTTTCATCATCATTCAGTTCTAAGTATTTTCCAATAGGCTTTATAAATTACTTTATTATAAGAGCTGTATAGTAGTATACTTTTTAAGTGCTATAAGCAAGGGTTTTTTTTAAACAACCCACTTATTTTCTAGTTGAGTTTTAGTTGAATTATTCCCAGAGAATACAGTCTGTATTATTTTGTAATTGTTGCTGCTTCCTTTGTTGCCTGGTGCGTGGGGAGCATCTACACATTCTCTCTGTGTGCTCAAAAAGGGTGTCTTATTCTATTTGTCCACTTCTTGAGTGTAATACTTTAGCATGTTTCTAGTGTCCTACTATATTTTCTCCTATTATACAGCTGGTTTCAGTTTATTAGAAATTAAATTATTCATATATTCAGATCTTTGTATCTCTTTGACAGAGAGGGGACGTGTAAAATGTTTCCTACTAAAATTGCTAATTACTCTATTTCTCCCTGCTATTCTGTTGGTTATTATTTTTCTGTGTGTCTGGTTAGATAGTAATGTACATATCTATTCATGGTGATAATATCTCTTTATTCTGTTTTTATTCTTTTTCATTTTTAGCAATATATGACCGCGTATTGTTGCTTATAGGATTTTTTGTCTTGAATTCTATTACGTCAGACAACAACATATCTACTCCAGTTTTCTTTTGTCTGGCATCTCATTTCCTATTCTTTAATTTTCAAAATTTATTTACACACTTGCTTTAATTATATTTCTTGAACACAACATTTTGCTAGATCTTGTCTTTTGAAAAGGTCATTGGTAAATGTTGGCAAACATTAAAGAAATAAATCATATCAATCCCATACAACTTCTTCCAGAAAATAGTAGAGAAGGGAATACTTCCCAATTCATTTTAAGAGGCCAGAATTATCATGATAACATAACCAGACAAAGATATTGTAAAGAAGAAAACTATAGACCAATATCCTTCATGGACATAGACATAAAAATCCTCCACAAAACCTTAGCAAATTAAGTCCAGCAATATATGGGAAGGACCATACTTTATAACCATTCTTATTCTGGGAAGGCAAGCCTGGCTTCAAACTATGAAAAATCAGCATAATTCATTATATTAACACACTAAAGAATTAATGTTATATGATAATCTCAATAGATGCAGAGAAAGCACTTGACAAAAGTCAACATCCCATTTCAGCTGTATTCCTTTCACCAGCATCCAGATACTTGCACTACAAGTGGAGGATCATCTCCTTGCAGGTCCTGTCTCTCCTTAAATTTTGGGCTACTTAGTTGCCCCGTGACCTCAGCTCTCTGAGAGTTTCAAGAAAAGTCATAAACTTGCAGTCTGTTCAGCTTTTTGTTGGTGGTGGAGTTGTTGCTATAGTGTGTAACAGTAGGAACAATGCCTCCTTCAGCTTTCTGCATCCTAAGCAGAAACTAAAAATGATAATGACTATCTTTTTATCTCCCATATTTATAGTATGTTCTTTTCACATCTACCAGGACTTGTTTTATTTCTAGCTATTTTGATTCAAACTTTCTTACCTTAAAATAGAAATTATAGACTTCTGTTTCCAGGAAGATGGAGTCAACATATTTTTCCCTATTCCTGCTGCTGAGCACAAGCAAAATCCCAGGACATTACACATAAAACAAATGGATCACAACTCTAAAAGATGGCAAGAAGAAGGCAGATTGGCTAGGGGCCTTGAAACATGAGGAACAACACAGTAGTGAGTTCCCTGGGTTCTCTTTTTGCTTCAAATACATCAGATTTGGAGCTGAAGAAGCCAGCAACCCATATGCCATTAAGCATGCACAAAAAAGTCCCAAGAAAAGTCTGCTCCCTCCAGCCAAAGGAGCAGAAAATGGCCAGTCTAGCAAGACAGAATGCTTTTAGACAATAATTGCTCTTGTCCAGCCAAACACCATAGAAAAGACTGTGACTCCACCCCATTTACACCAGCAAAGGCCTCGACTTCCACCCTTGCCAGGCTGTAACGAGGTACCCCAATCCCATCCTAGGGTAGAGTCAGAGAAGAGGGTTCATTCTCAGCAGGTAGTAATGACACTTGTCCCTTGGGGTGTCCATGGAGACCATGTGGGGAGCCTGGACTGTAACCCCCCACCTGGCAGTAAGGAGGTGTCCCTCCCCTCTCCGCTGGGGTGATGTTGCAGGAGACCCAGCGGAGAGTGAGAATTGTCACCACCTCTCAGCGGGAACGAGGCTGCACACCCCTTCCTGGATTAACCCCAAAAACATGATCCATAAAAGGTAAAATTAACAAATTGGACTACATCAAAATTAAAACCTTTTGCTCTGTGAAAAACCAAGTGAAGAGGATGAAAAGTCAAGTTAAAGACTGAGAGAATATTTTGCAAACCACCTATCTGACAAAGGCCCAGTATCTGGAATGTATAGAGGAGACTCAAAACTCAACAGTGAAAAAATAAACAATCTCATTAGAAAATGGGCAAAGGATGTGGACAGACATTTCAGTGAACAGGATATACAGATAGAAATAAGCACAAAGAAAGCCATTAGCGAAACGCAAATTAAAACCGCGATGAGATATCACTACACACCTATCAGAATGGCTAAAATAAAAAAATAGTGGCAACGCCAAATGCTGGTGAAGATGTAGAGACACTGTATCACTCATCTATTGCTGGTAGGAAGTAAAATGGTACAGCTGCTCTTGAAAACAGTTAGGCAGTTTCTTAAAAACTAGACCTGTAACTATCATATGATCCAGGAATTGTATACCTGGGCATTTATTCCAGAGAAGTGAAAAATTTGCTGACACAAAAACCTATACATGAATGTTCATAGCAGCTTTATTTGTGACAGTCATAGACTGAAAACCACCAGATGTCCTTCAACAGGTGAATGGTTGAACTGAGACATCCATATCATGGAATACTATTCAGCAACAAATAGGAACAGACTATTCCTAAAAGCAGCAACCAGGATGAATTTCCAGAGAATTCTGCTGAGTGATAAAAGCCAGGCCCAAAAGGTTACATACTGCATGATTCCATTTACGTAACATACTTGAAATGACAAAATTATATAATATAGAAATTCAGAACAGATTAGTGGTTACTAGAGATTAAGAATGGAAGCAAGGATCTCGGGAGGGAATTGGATGTTGCTATAAAAGGGCAACAAGAGGGGTCCTTGTGGTGATGGAAATAGTCCGCATCTGACTGTATTAATGGCAATATCCTCGTTGAGATATTGTACTATTGGTTTGCAAGATGTTACCACTGGGGGACACTGGGTAAAGGGGACATGGGATCTATCTGTGTCACTTCTTACAACTGAATATGAATCTACAATCATCTCAAAAAAGGTTTAATTCAAGAATAAAAGTTATACATTCTTTATCTCTTTAAATATCCTACACACATTTGATATTACATGTAGTGAATTCACATTCAGATTTTTCCTTTTGTTGTTAGTGTTCCTTATCATTTTATTTCTTCACGTATTTGGAATTTTGTTTTATGTGCTTATGTGAAATGAAAGATTTGTGATTTTTTTCCCTCTCCATCCTCTCTCTTTCTCTCTCTCCTCTCTTTTCTTCATCTCTCCTCACTAACAGCTGCATCCTCCCCTTCAACATACATAAATCTGAGCTTATTATTCGCTGCCTAGAAGTTGGGGTTTTTATTTTATTTCTTCTGCCCAGAATTCAGGGATCCTAATCCAAAACAAGGAACCATAATGATGTTTTGGGATCGCTACGCTATGGTGTTAGGGACATTGCAAATACAGTCACTGAACCAGCAGGTGCATTGGTTTAGCTCATGGTCACGAAGGTGTGGCTTGTTCCAACCACTTTGCTGGGTCCTCTGTTTCCCATAAAGCTGAAGAGCCAGGAGGCAGTTCAGCAGCACTTAGTTATTCTCATTTCATGGGTCAGGGAACTGTACCAGAGCCCATGGCTTCACACAGCAAGCCTCTTTCCAACCCCTCATCTTGGGGACGATTCTGGCTCCCTTTGCTTGGCAGGAATGGAACTCCTGGCCACCACAGCTGGCTTCTGGAGCCAGATCCCAGAATGCCAATGGCTTCAGCCCCATTTATGTGTCCATTCTGTGCAGTTTCTGGTTCATGAAGATTTCATCTTGTTGTTGAACCTGGACATATATTTTTGGTTTTCTATTTTATCTATCATTGCTATAGGTTTGGAGCACAAACTCATTGTCTAAAGTCAACTGTACGATCTTGACCTGAAGCACAGCCATAGGAATTTGCCTTTTACCTACATGTTTATTTAATGTGAATGGTGAATGGATCTTAATGAGTGGAAGAAAAATAGCTCCTAGGTAAAAGGGACAATTCAAATCATATCATAACCTGCTAAAGATAGTATGTCAAATGTTTTAATTCGTTATATTTATTAAAACTTTCTATGTAACTGAGTTTTCTAACACTTTAGGGTATTTTCTAGGGACACTCACATTTTTTAACGTGTTAAAAATACGTTGTAAGGTATGAAATTAATGTCTTATCAAATATCACAGCTACCTGCCAAGCTTACAAAATATTCATTCATTTCTCCTACCCACAGACAACCAATAAATTATTATCAACTGATGTTGATAAACACTCAAAAAAAATGAAAGCAGCCATGAGAAGAAGCCCATCCTTTACCACATGAACAAGACATCAAAGGTATTCAGCCCCCAGCAGCAGAAGGTTAATGCACCTATGAACTCCACGCACGTCATCCTTCTTCCATATTTTAAGATAAGTTGTGCTGAAATTGTGCAGGAGAAGAATTGGGGGGAAACTAACTGCCAGTGTTGCAGGGTATCATCCATAAGCACACAATAGTGATAAATGAAGTGTTCTGTCATGTTTTCCTCCTCATTTCTACTTCCCTTATTTTAGGTTATGTTCTTAGCTAAGAGCAATAACATACCTAGTTAATTATCTCTCCTGCCTGCATCCAGATATACTGCATTGTTAGTTTATGTCTGCGGTGCGCAGAGAGAATTTGGCTCTCTTTCAGTTCTCATAATAAGAGGGGACAGTCAACCCAAATAATTCAGGACAAATGTCCCAGTGGATCCCTGAAGCATCTTGCTTGTTATCCATGTTAATCATGTTAACTACATCACGGCCAAATTCCATTTTGCACTGTGTGGTATTGAGGCAATCTTAATGCTTTATTATTATTATATATGAATTCATGTTTACTTGATTAGTTTACCACAGCACAAGGTAAGCACCATTCACTTAAAGAATTAGGAGGTTCAGAAACTGAACGCATTTTTCTAGGATTTGGGTTCCACATCTTATGCATTAATAAACAAGTTAAAAACAATTGATAAGAAATCATATTTTAACTACTGGCTTTGTGCCCATAACCAAATCAATAAAAACATGAGAATTGAGACAAGTTGTACATATTCCCAGTTTAAAAAAATACCTTGTTAATTCATGGTCTCTCGATATCAGCACAATTGTCATTCTAGGCCAGGTAATGCTTAGCCTTGAGGAGCCATTCTGCGTGTTGTAGAATGTTGAGCAGCATCCTTGGTCTCTGCTGGCGAGATGCCAGTAGCAGCCCTGTCTTCCAAGTTAGGATAATCAAAAATGTCTCCAGACATTGACTAATTTCTTCTGGGTGTGCAAAATTGTCCCCACTACTAAGAACCATGGCTTAAATTTGATATTTTTTCAGGATATTGGTGTTTTTCACCTTCCAACACTTCAGTTCACTATTGTGGATGTGACCTTAGAGATTGTCGATGCAGACCTAGCCACTATAACTCTGCTTTTTTCCTATACTATACATGGGTAACAAATGCTATGAATTCATAGTCTGAGATATTAACCAGCCATTCCGGTCTGTTTTCTCGCTCCACCCCCAATTATCCTCATACAACAACATAAGAGCTACGACTTGCCCAGATATTGAGAGGGGAATTTTCAACACTCAGCAAAGAAGCCAAATTCTATGCTTCTCAGGCTTTACAACTATCTGCAGGCTTTAAAACTGTCTGTGGAGAGCCTAAAATCAAGTTTAGATTGGCACCTCAATCTCCTTAATGACTAGAACTTCATCAATGCTGTATTTGAAATAAGTAATATGAATTTTGTGACCAGTTTACTTAAGATGTTTACATTTCCAGAGCCTCTAGATGCATATAAAATTTCAGTGTTGCTAGTAAATCAATGCACAAGTGATTCGTATAGAACTCTGTAATTCTTTACAAATCAACCATTACATAGATGTTTTAGATCTGAAATGAGTACTTTAAGCACACAATTTTTTTCTTGACTCTTTAATAGAGATTGGCTTATTTTCCAAAAGCAAGTTGATTGCTATGGCTTTCATATAAATCTTAATGCTGTTCTTGTGCACCTTTTTTTAGGCTTCTTTTCAAAAATCCTGATATTCAACAATGTAATTTGCACATCAATATCCTTAGATTGGCTCTGCAGCTTTTGACTAGTGCTTTGAAGTAATTTTGTGAAGTGTGTAGGAATAGTCTATAAGCACCAACTCTGTGGGGATAATAAAGTGAACTAGAAACACTAACGCAGAGTTAGATGTGAGTGCACAGGAATATGTGATGTGGGCTCGGCGAGCTGAGGAGTTGAAAGAAAGGTTTCTTGGACTCTCAAGGTCTGGTAGCAGTGCTCTTTTATTCAGAAAATAGCATGGAGTAGCATGGAGACAGGACCCATAGGCAGGGAACAGCTGTAGGCATGGGGAAAGGAACCATGGGCAGGGAAGAGATGCAAACATGGAGACAGGACCCATGGGCAGTGAAGAGCTGCAGGCACAGGGACAGGACCCGTGGGCAGGGAAGAGCTGCAGCATGGGGACAGGACCCAGGGACAGTAAGAGCTGCAGGCATGGGGACAGGACCCAGGGGCAGTAAGAGCTGCAGGCATGGGGACAGGACCCAGGGACAGTAAGAGCTGCAGGCATGGGGACAGGACCCAGGGACAGTAAGAGCTGCAGGCATGGGGACAGGACCCAGGGACAGTAAGAGCTGCAGGCATGGGGACAGGACCCAGGGGCAGTAAGAGCTGCAGGCATGGGGACAGGACCCAGGGGCAGTAAGAGCTGCAGGCATGGGGACAGGACCCAGGGGCAGTAAGAGCTGCAGGCATGGGGACAGGACCCAGGGGCAGTAAGAGCTGCAATGAGTTGAGGGTAGGGCTAAATTTATAAGGCATACGTACGTGAATTATTTCTTTACAAGACAAATGAAAGATCACAAAAAAATATTGTTAAAATGGTATCAGTGCAGGTAGGGTCTGGTCATTGGGTAGTCCTATAACTTTGGATGTGAATCAGATTAGATCAGGTCAGGACGTCCTATGCTTCCCTATGCCCCCCGGAGGATGACCTAGATCGGTATGCAGGGCGGGACGCCTTGGGCTTCTCTCCCTGGGGCAGCCTGGATCCTCATCATGTGGGCCTGTTGGATAGTGGCCATTCTACAAATATGACAAGAGAATTTTACAAGATTCTCCAAAGGAATAGACATTAAAAAGGATAAATATTTAGTGCTGTATGTGAAAAAGATAATTCACATACTGTACTGTACGTGAAAAATACTGTATGTGAAAAAATTCACATGCTATATATGAAGGTATGTGAAAAAGATAATTAAAATATAATCGTTTTTATAGGTGTGGAAACATACAAGCATGAGGTTAGAAATAGAAGGACTAATTATAACAAACACATGAATAGCTATTACTATTATTTAATTCTATATTTTTCATTATTTTCTTGGAATTTGATAAGAAAGACTAGTAGGCAGAGGATAGAAAAAGATAATTCACAAATTAAGGAATACAATTAGTAAAATAATTTAATCAAATATATGGAAATTAAACCTAGGTACCATTTTTGTTTCATGTCTCTTAAATTAGAAAAAATATTTTAAACTTGTAATATCAAATAATGATGACAGCTTCTCCTTAATTTGCATACATTATTAAAGCATTATTAATTACTCTTTTTGGAAAACAGATTGAGAAGTTTATGAGCAATTTATAGTATCCATTCATTTTCAAATAGACATATAATTTGATCCAATTTACAGCACTAAAATTTGTCTTAAAAACTGTGTTCCTAAAAGTAGGATTTCTGAGTCAAAGGTACTATCTATCTCACTGTTTAAAAAATTGTAGCAATTTGTTTATCAAGAACTATACCTAGAAGTCTATATCAAACAAACAAAATCTAAGATAAAGAAAAACTATATGAATGATAATATAAATCATCAATGTTTGTTTAAAACAATCAGAAGCAAACCAGGTTTCCTACAATAGGGAAATGTTTGTTTAAATTACGGAAGATTCACTAGATAGAATATAATACAGCTATTAAAATATACAAGTTGATATGATATATAAAATATAAAGTGATAATTAAAATTAAAACAGAAGAATATTTAGAAGAAAGGAGAAATAGAAGTGATATGACAGCAAAGTTGTATCCCTTTGCAAAACAAACCACGGATCTGATGTGGAGGCAAGAAAGTCTCATTCTGTTAAAAGCTGACTGATAAATTTTTACTTGCTTTGCTGAGAATTTTAAGACTGAGGAAGGGAGAAGCGGAATGACTCTCCAGCAGGATATAATATCATCCCTAAGGGCTTTACATTTTGCAAAGAAAACTCCTTCACGCACATCTTCATGATGTTTCGTCTCAATTTTGACCAACATCAACAGTGAAGAATCATTTCAGGATGTGCAGGTGATAGAAAGCTCGGGAGTGGGTGACCCCACCACTTTACGGGCCACAATAATCCAAGAAGAGAAAGTCTGAGTATAAAATCCTATGTTTTGCCAGACCTTGTGGATTTCCAAAAGCTCGGTGTGAACTGGAAGGTGAGAGGACATGGAGAGAGTGAAAAAAAGAAGGTGGCCCAAGAGGTTTGGGGGTTCTACAAAGCTAAATTCTGATGACACAATTGTCACAATGAGGAAAGTATGTGAGGGCATTTTAAAAACGAACAGGACTGCTCACAGTGGTGGACACTCTCAGAAATGGCAAGAGACAAAAACAAGGATGAGAACAAAAAGGGGACACATGACAATTAAGGTAGTAAGATTCAATTCTAAAATGAGCTGAGGTCTGCTCTAATACTAAAGATAAAAAAGTATTAAAATCATAGAAAAGAGAGGGTGTCATCTTGGGTCATGGGGAATCATTTTAATACACTGCAGTCAGAAAATAGCATTCTTAATTTTTTTTATTTTTGCCGTGGTCTTCTCCATCAAGAAGAATAATTTCCGAACTGTAAATGGTAAGATAAACATAAGAAGGAAATGAAGCCCAAGATTTGATAGGAAAGTAACAAGGCATCTGAATACTTTGCTGTGATCTGAGATCAACCACACCCGAATCTCCTCTGGAGGCATTTCAGAAACACAGACTCTTGGGCGCCCTGGACCTCGGAATAAGGATTTGCATTTTAATAAGATCCGCAGGTGATTCCTGTTTCTCAGAAGCACTGGCCTAAATGACTTAAGTCTTCAGACCATGATGAAATAAAAGAACTTACAGCTGTTAATTGATTAAACATTGTAACTCTTGAGAACACAGAAGAGAAGCCTAGAAATGGGTAAACGTCCCTATTTAACAGGAAATGTACATTCCAAAAAGTACAAAATAATGACATTTTATGAACTTACA